GCTGACTTAGTAATCATTTGATAATCCTGTATTAACAATTTTGTTTTGGATTTAATAAATTGCTTATTGTTGACCTTTCTTTATTTATTTTTTCTTTTGGCAAAGTTAATCAATTTGACATTTACATACGATATTATTTACTTAACAAATTTTATTAACAAATTCATGTATAAATAAATAAAAATAAACGTACCCGAACGATCTTTACTCTCATTTGCATTATCAAGCGTGGCAGCCATAGCGTTCGTGCTAGAAAATACCTGGATGATCATAGATGCAATATTAATCGTATATGTAATACATCATGAGCCGGCGTAGCTCCGCAATCAAGGATCTAGTTGCGTTCGGGATATGCGTCATCATCGTTTTATCGTTGTGTCATTCTTTATTTTTCTATCACTATTTTCTATCTCTAAACACTCAAGGACAGAATGATTCTGATTCACGCACATGAAACGCAGCCTAGCTATGGGTAAACATGATTCTTTATATAAAAGCTTACGTTTGCGATTGACGAGCATTGTGGTTTTTAGGGATATAAATTGTTGGACTGAGTAAAAAGAAGTGAATGTAAGTGAAAAAAGAGTATAAGTGTAAAAAAAAGAACAGAAAAGACGAGAGAATGAGGAAAAAGGGTCAGAGAGGCAAAAGTATATATAAAAATAATATAGAAAGAATATTCACAGTAGATTAAATTATATTGGTAAGATAGAAATATGGACATATATATGGGACATATATGTATATTGTTAATACACATGATAAAGATGTAAAATTTTAATATTGAAATAGTGGAGGTGAAACTCACTGAAGCACACGTGTGTCAACGTTTTATACAGTTTGAATTGATTTTAATTCTGTAGACAAGAGGCACTCGCATTCCTCGAAAACAAAAAAAAACAGATTGCAAAAGTAGAACAAAAAGAAATAATAAAAAATACAGTAAAGTAAATCCGTATACAAAGATTTATCTTGCTTCGTTACTTGCTCGCATGCAACTGTCTCGCTTGCAATTTGCTACACACGTTCGGCATTCGCTCTATCACTGGCTCTAACACGTATGCACACCACGACGGTTGTTAAGGAAATGGGAAGATTGCCAATTGTCGCTGCCAGGTTCTGCCACGCAGCAGCGCTAATCGCTCTTATATAATTTCATTGCAGCTTATACAGAAATTATCACACAAAGTAGCATATTTAAATATAGTATATTTTAATAAGATATGTGGAAGCAAAAGAGAAAATCAATATTCCTAGAAGAAATATTTTTAAAAAATTTTTAGAATACGACGGGAAATAAGAAAAGAAATGAAGGAATTGAAAGCCGAAATGAAAGTGTAAAAGAACGGAAGAACGGAAAAGGGAAAGAAATGAATTAAAAAGACGAACAAAGAAATTAGAAATAAAATGGAAGGAGTATAACAAGAATAGACAAAATTATATAGGACAATTAGAATAAGAAAATAATAAGAGGGATACTTTGAGATTCACTTCTACCTCGAAAACATTCCAATCGCAAAATGTCCGATCAATTTCTGATAATGTAGACATATTTGGTGTAACAATAATATTAATAATTTTGTTAGCTAGAATTCTGGCATATCCGGAAATGCGCAAAGAATTCTAATATTTTTAAGCCGAATGAATAAAACAAGCGAAATGTCTCAAATACAATCGAACACTGAAGAAAATGATACTTTCCAGATTAATTCGAATGAT